ATAAGTATAATCCAGATGGAACTTGAACTTTCATCTCCGGGTTGACAATCCTTAAATACTGATTGAATTTGGATTTATTCCCTGTCCTTTAAATTTTGATTATTTTCATAGTTCTAATAGTGCAAGGCCTTGTTACCTGACTAATGCTCAGGAACACAAAACCCACTTTTTGAGAGGAGCCAATTCTCTGTTTAAGAAGTTATCCAGCTGATGAAAATCTAATTATGGCATAAATTAATCACTTTACAGCATCTTTTTATCCTGGCAAGGCATATTTTATACCAGAGACTTATTTACAAAGATAACCAGAACAAGTTGGTTCAAATAGGCTAGGCTGTGTCATTAAATCCCATGCTTCTATATCGATGTTAACAATTCCACAATGAAGTATAACATTTTCAGTGACTAAGAAATACAAATGACTTGAAAATATTTTCTAGATGAAATGATAGGAGCTTTTGACATGTGGCTACTGTATGTTAAATTGTAGAGGTCAGAGAGTGCACTAGAAAACACTGCTGTTCTAAGATCCTTAACTCTGTAGAGTCACGCACGTTACTGACATGCCGGTTATAAAAGATCATCTTCAACAACAATTATGACTTATTCAAGAACTTTCAAAAGCTTGAACACACAACACAGATGGTCAATTATCAGCGTTATCTGTTATTTTGTTTATTTCATCCTTCTAGTTAACACCTGGCCTTGTTAGACTGACCCCTTGCTCACACTGGCTCCGGTGCGGTTACCGAGCCGACAGAGACCGCAACTCCCGCACACCGCATCTCACACCGCCCTTTTGACTACGGTGCGGTGCGGCTCTGCGGCTCCGGCAACAGGTCCGGAGATTTAACAGAAGTTCACTTGAGTTCACGTAACTTCACGCTATAACACGGCCCAAATAAGGATATTTGCGAGAGCTTGTTGCGGAGGGCTCCGGCACGCCGCAAGGATAGCTTTCTTGCGGAATTTTCTGCAGCGCCGGAGTGTCTCGGTAACCGCAGCCGGACAGCTCAGCAGCCGGTGAGAGAGGTTTACGTCTTTTTAATGACTTGGAATCACTGCGGCGCCGCACCCACCGCACCGCAACGGTAAGACCGGAGTCGGTGTGAGCCTGGGGTGATTTTTCTGAAAAAGACAGCTGACAGACACAAAAACCCCTTAGGGCTTTAGGAACTTCAAGGTGATTTGCATACAGGTGCTGGTCATAAAATTAGAATATCATGAAAAAGTAGATTGATTTCAGTAATTCCATTTAAAAAGTGAAACTTGTATATTATATGCATACATTACATACAAACTCATATATTTCAGATGTTTATTTGGTTTAATTTTGATGATTACAAATGACAACAAATGAAAATCTCAAATTCATCATATCAGAAAATTAGAATATTACTGAAGACCAATAAAAACAAAGGATTTATAGAAATGTTGGCCAACTGAAAAGTATGAACATGAAAAGTATGAGCATGTACAGCACTCAGTATTTAGTTGGGCCTCCTTTGGCCTGTATTACTGCAGCAATGCGGCGTGGCATGGAGTCGATCAGTCTGTGGCACTGCTCAGGTGTTATGATAGCCCAGGTTGCTCTAATAGTGGCTTTTAGCTCTTCTGAATTGTTGGGTCTGGTGTATTGCATCTTCTTCTTCACAATACCCCATAGATTTTCTATGGGGTTAAGGTCAGGAGAGTTTGCTGGCCAATTAAGAACAGGGATACCATGGTCCTTCAACCAGGTACTGGTAGCTTTGGCACTGTGTGCAGGTGCCAAGTCCTGTTGGAAAATGAAATCTGCATCTCCAAAAAGTTGGTCAGCTGCAGGAAGCATGAAGTGCTCTAAAACTTCCTGGTATGTGGCTGCGTTGACCCTGGACCTCAGAAAACACAATGGACCAACACCAGCAGATGACATGGCACCCCAAACCATCACTGACTGTGGAAACTTTACACTGGACTTCAAGCAACGTGGATGAAGTGCCTCTCTTCTTTTCCTCCAGACTCTGGGACCTTGATTTCCAAAGGAAATGCAAAATTTACTTTCATCAGAGAACATGACTTTGGACCACTCACCAGCAGTCCAGTCCTGTTTCTCTTTAGCCCAGGCAAGACGCTTCTGACGCTGTCTGTGGTTCAAGAGTGGCTTGACACAAGGAATGCGACAGCAGAAACCCATGTCTTTCATACGTCTGTGTGTGGTGGTTCTTGAAGCACTCACTCCAGCTGCAGTCCACTCTTTGTGAATCTCCCCCACATTTTTGAATGGGTTTTGTTTCACAATCCTCTCCAGGGTGCGGTTATCTCTCTTGCTTGTACACTTTTTTCGACCACATCTTTTCCTTCCCTTTGCCTCTCTATTAATGTGCTTGGACACTGAGCTCTGTGAACAGCCAGCCTCTTTAGCGATGACCTTTTGTGTCTTGCCCTCCTTGTGCAAGGTGTCGATGGTCGTCTTTTGGACAACTGTCAAGTCAGCAGTCTTCCCCATGATTGTGTAGCCTATAGAACTAGACTGAAAGACCATTTAAAGGCTTTTGCAGGTGGTTTGAGTTAATTAGCTGATTAGAGTGTGGCACCAGGGGCCATCAATTTTGAACCTTTTCACAATATTCTAATTTTCTGATATGATGAATTTGAGATTTTCATTTGTTGTCATTTGTAATCATCAAAATTAAACAAAATAAACATCTGAAATATATGAGTTTGTATGTAATGTATGAATATAATATACAAGTTTCACTTTTTAAATGGAATTACTGAAATCAATCTACTTTTTCATGATATTCTAATTTTATGACCAGCACCTGTATGAGTCAAACATAGACAGATTCTACCTTTTGAACCCCTTAAGGTAAAACAATTACCCAGTAGCAAGATCTAAATTAGCTTTCAGTCTAGGTAATGAATTACTTGAAAGTCTACACATTAAAATGTACACATGAGTAAAGCATCCATATTCTTATTTATCCTAATACAGTAAAAAAAAAAAAAAATATATATATATATATATATATATATATATATATATATGAGGGTTCTGCGCAGTATCTTAATGAAATAAATACAGTATGGGTAATATCATCTAGCCTGACGTAGTCCTACACAATTCTAGTCAGAATATGAGTCTGATACTGCTCCATAGAGCTGTGATTATGGGGCGGGCTTCGGACGAACCAGGAAAAAAAATGCCTCTGCACTCAATTGGATAGACCTACAACCAATAAGAGCAACGGAGTGCGTGACGTATGTTAAGCGAGGCATAGTTGTTGTCAAAAAAAATCAAAGCGTGCAGTTGCACGCCTAGAATAACAAGATGAGCCTTGATCGCGTTTCTCTGTTCCTCTTTTAAAATTAATTTGCTGTCGATATCTTCTAGAACAGACCTAATAGCAGAATCTACACACCTCAACTCTCCAGCGGCAGCCATTGTTGTTGTCACCTAAGCGCGCTTTGGTCACGTGGTTGATTATGTTACCGTTGATCATCTGTCCATCATCATATAAAGCCCGCCCTGACAATTTGATTGGCCCGCCAGATATTGTGCGACCATACTCGTGCTACTACTGAGCAATGCCAGACCGAACTTCCTGACCTCAAACGTTGTGGGTGGGACTAAGTTCGGAATGGCACCCAGGCTAAATATCATCACCTCCTCCAGGAACTACGTCTGGATAATGGTTGGTTGCAGTGGTACTTCTGCCTATGTGGTGTCCTGCATTGGATGATAAATCACCAGGACAACAGAGGGTCAGGTGAGATGGCATTCTGGAGCTCAGAAAGGAGCAGTGGGAAATCAGTGCGAGAACACCGGCATAGAAAAAAACTGAACCAGGACCAGGCTGCCAGTCGTGTCATCATCTTGAACTATGGAACCACAGCAGACGATCGGAGGATTCATCCATAGAATCAGTGCACTAGATTAGGGAGAGGCTACAGCTGGCTTCAGGCTAGCTATAGAAGTTATTTGCGATGATCCAAAGCTACTGAGGGGTACAGCAGCAGATTCGATAAGTCTACTGGATAACCAGAATACTGAAGGCGAACTAAAGACTACAGCTGCTTGGGAGGAGGACAGTGCAACATCAGAGAAGCCAGCCATGGAGGTAAAGCTATGAGAGGTTACTGGAGCGAGCCTATTAGTGTATTCTCATTATGAGTTCATATGAAATCGTACGGAAAGTTATGCACTGTAATTTCTACATTTTGAACTTTTTTTCGTCGCATGCGCATCTGACGCACCATTCACAAATATAGAATATAAATTACAATTAGCCCTAACCCTGACCCTACACCTAACCCTAAGATATAAAACAGCAAGCAACGTAGTTAGAGACATGAATAAGTGATGATTGCACTGTTTTTCACAGTTTTACGTCCATCTGCATGCGGATCTGCTTTTTTTTTTCTGTCTGCCAGCGCATGCGCACTGATGTGGTTTTTTGAGGAAAAACGTCCAAAACGTACGAAATAGCGTGCATAACGTTTCATACGATTTCATACGAACTGATAATGAGAATTTGTTGAGCCTATAGGGAAACTACAGGACATGAAAGGAGTACAGCGGAGGATCAACGACGCTTGCTCAGGCAGACACTGGCGGAACTGGAGAGAGAAAAGAAGACGCTGGAGATAAGAACTTTTTTTAGAGCTACCTTCATTCCTCTTAAGAGCATTACAACTTCATCCTTTGTCAACATTATTTTCTCTATCATTCACATTTAATGAAAGAAAAAGCTTGTCTCATCTGCTCCTTCTCTGTAGCTTACAGCCACATCTAGTGCCTGACTGGATTTCGCAATGCGAATGTAAGCAAAAGATTTTTCAACTTTATTCTCAGGCCATACGGCTATCAGATATTACTTCATCAAAATCGTGCCGTTCACCTCCCTATATTCGCCACCGTTGCCTCACTCAGCTTTGCTTTGCTCCAGATCCGCCGTCCTACATAGAGTGAACATACATTTAAAACACCTAATATCTTTTCGCCTGATCTGGGTCAAATCAGGGGATAAAAAAACAGATCACACATAAGTTATTGAATGTTGAATAAATCTCATTCATTGTCACATCAACTTCACTCATACTGTTTTCTGACCACATTTATTGCCAAAAACTTAGCCAATCAGACCACACCACATGTAAACACTCAACTTTTATGTATGGCTCAACTTAAATACTATGAGTTATCAAACTTTTTTTTAATGCAGAAGTTCACAATACTTGTATAGGGTGAGTATCATCATCAAGCTAATAAAAATTGAGTTCTATTTACTTAAAGTATTTTTTATTATTGTGCTTTACAGTGTAAGTATTCCATCCCAAGTCTCCAACATAAAGTAAATATTAATTTCTTTACAATATTTACTTATTCTGTTAGTTTACTATAGCTCAGTTATTCATTGGACAAAATGACCAGTAACTTCCTAAATTATGCCATTTTTCAGTTACAGTTAATAGGTTAGGAAATATGTGTTTTAGGTCGCTATTGTTTGCTGCATTTCTAAATATGTGAACAACCTCATGGTCTCTTGAAGTCAGCTGCTGATACTGACACACACATGGCTTTATATAGCTGCACTTGTTTAGCCTGGCTTGGTCTTTGTTAAACAGACAAAAACAGGATGTACTTCTCACGCGAGGTAATGCCTGGCTTTATCTCCTACCCTGAATTTCTAAATGCTGCTTTTGTGACACAGACCTGAGGGAACAGAAATTAATGGCATATATACAACTGAGATGAACTACACAACAGATGGTAGAGGTGAACAGAAAATACAACCAGGTTCAAATTATGACATAATAATATTACATCAGTTTTACTCCCAAGCTAGACAACGCAAATTTCAAACTTCTGGAAAATAACTATGAACTATTTATATAAAAAAATTCTAAAGACTCCATTTTTGTTATATATTTTACTAATCTGCAATGAAGGAAATATGTTTACAAGTTATTTCAGGAACTTTGCTGTTGGAACAGTTTGCTTCCATAGAACATACTGTTCTAATCATGGTGGTGACTGGGGTCACCATTTGTCCGGGGGAAAAAATGTGTAGTTTTATTTATATACAAAAATATGCCTCTAAATAAATCGAGATTCATATCAAATGTTTGGACAGTCATTTTCCAACCAAAAAAAGATATGAAAGAAAAACCGGATGTCACAGGAATGGAAGACAACACCTGGCCAATACATGCTCCTTATTTATATTTTATGGAACTGGCAATCCTGGTTAGTTGCAGTGAGTTACAATGTAACAACTTCTTGATTAAAATACTCTTCTCCAGATTGCATTTACTGTAAATCCTTCTGCCCAAATAAAAAAAAGCCCTTTTTTCCAGAAGACAATATTCTCTGATTGTGTAATGCTTCCCTCTTGTGGAAAAAACACATTACTACATTAAGCTAATTCATTTTGCTTTCTCTTGATGTCAGAGAGTTCTGCATCACTCAGCATCACCTCTCGGGCCAGATCAGGTCTGCCTATTTTGGTTAGGCTCTGGGCGAGCTGGGAGGTCTTGGGGTGGCATTTGGCAGCAGGCAGAGCTCGTCTCCACATGACCAAAATGTGGAAGGCCTGATCTGATGGGCTGTCCCTGAAGCGGAGCTTTGCCAGCTGGGCTGAACTACGACTGAGATGCAGGGAGGATACCAGCCGTGCAGTTTCCTCTTGAGTCAGCTCCCCAGATAGCCAGAGGAGAAGGGAGTCAGAAAGAGGCTCTATTGGGTACAAACAACAACAATGAAGGCCATTAATAAATATACATAAACAGTACCTTTAAACCTTTAACCTTTTTCGCATTATTTTAATCTTGAAACCACAAAAGTATGTATGTTATTGAGATTTCATGCAAAAGGCCAACACAAAGCAGTGTTTGCCTGGTTACCAATTTTTAATGCCACATGTTCGGATAAAATAAAAATTGTCTGACTTCATTTATAAATGTACCAGATAACAGTAATGATACCAGTGTCTAAGCAACAGCTTAAGTCACCCACCTGCCTCCTCACATGTCTTCACTCTGGTGGAAATCGGCCGATGAATGAGCCTCACTTTCTGGGATAACACAAATTTATGCTGTTAAAAAATCTTGAAATTGTTTCTGCTCAAGTAAAATGATTAGTCGGTATGACCTTTGCACCTTTGGTAAACTCAGAGGCAGTTTACAAACTGGGTTTCTCAGAAGCTCTGCGTCCTTCAGAACAGCTTTGTCTCCTCTCCACTCCAGCTCAGCTCTGCTGACTCTATAGAGCAGGGCTGTACCCTTATAGCAAGGCGAGCTGTAGTTTCCAAATGGGTCAACTTCCCTTAGACGCACAAATAGCTCATTCCTTCGTTGATAGTGAAAGGTCAGCCGCTCATGTGGGTCCTCACTTGGGTTAGTCTGTGTGGAAGCTGCAGAATACAGGTATGCCAAACAACATGGCAAGTATTATCTAAGGGTTTTGAAACTTTCAGGTTTTACTTTAAAATATTGTACGATGAAGCAAATGTTTTCTCTTGATCTTGTGTTACCAAAAACAGCAGCATATGTTTATTATTTGTTTAGCTACATTTGTTTCAAGACATCCCCTGTGAACTGTAAAGGCCTTCAATGTTCCGTTCATTAGTTCACACATTTATAAATAGACCTTGTTAAGCTGAGCCTCGTTTCAGTTCCGCTTTTCTTATATTTTATTGCCTGTTTGCCTCTAAGTTGTAGCTCTTTTGTCTCAAACTTCCTTCTTCAGCCATTGTACATTTGCTATTAAGGCCCCTTCGCTGCTTTCACTTCCTGTATGTGTTTGAGTTACTGAAGTATAAAATACCCAGACACTGACTATGTCCAGTCATAATAAAACCTAAGAATGTTGAAGCATCACTGTGTAACTTTTAGCCACTAGAGGTACTGGAACTGTAGCTTGCAGGTTTGGCCACTGGTAAAACTGCACTGTCACAAAATTAAACAGTATCCAACAGCATTTTGGAATCTGATTGCATGGACTTATGGATTGCAGTCATGTAGTTAAAAATAAGACTAAATTCACCCATGTATATTAAATCTTTCATTAGAAAACCGAAAACTGGTCTGATTAGCTTAGTTAGGTCTCATGTTTATGGGGAGCTAAGACTGTCGGAACTCTGTGTTCTGGGTCACATGGCTAATTCGTGCCAGATCTTACCATCTCCAGTTATCCTTAATACAGCCCGTACTAAATATGGGGGAAAAAAAAAATGTAATACATCTGAAATTAAGCTAATACTTGAGTCAATAATTATACAGTGTTTCTCTAAATTAAGAGAACTATATTTTGAATAACTTGATCAAAAGATTACCAGGTTCTTAGATGTCTGTTATCTAAATGCTTAAACCTTATTTTCAATTCATTGATTAATCAAGTGCATTTGATTAGCAGCGCTTGGTTGCTAAGGTCTTATCTTAAAGGAAAAGTCCGGTCAGCAAGCATTAATCAATGGATCATTATTTATACTTAAAAATGAAAATGTCCGCAGCTATTTAAGGTATTTAGCATTAATCAGTAAATATATAAAAATAATAATGTTCGTCGCAATCACTGAGTGTGGAAGCGGCCATTTATGCCCAAATATAATGCCACCTCCCTCCTGACATCTTCCGGCAGTGATGTCATCATCTAACATGCATGGCAGTTGGATGTTGTAATGCATCGGGTAAAACTGAAAAAAAAATTGTTATTTGATCTTTCCGATTCAAATTTTACGAGTTTGTCGTTCGATCGCCAACTTAAAGAGGGAGGATTTGCCATCAAACTTCTGGCCAGAAAGAAAAACAAACGTCATATGTAGCTACTATTTCGAATAATGTTTTCAAGATGACTTGGATAATAGAGCGTTGTGACAAATACCAGATAGATTATTGGGCTCAACAGCCGATACTGCACTGTGACTTCAAAAAACCGATAGGATGCCTCCAGTATAGCCCATTCAAATGAATATTACTCTTAATTAAAAAACACTCATCATTTATTGAACAGTATGTAGTGATTTTTTAATTGTGAGTTTGAATTCTGAATATGACCGGACTTTTTCTTTAAAGCTTTAGAAACACAAATGGTGGTGGTTTTCTTCTCTGTTTAATATATGACTATGAAGGCTGGACACTTAACAGTTTAGGACATATTTTTGCATAAGACAGCATAAATTAACATGACTTGATAGTTAAGATGGGATTATAGTCAAAGTCATATCTTTGATCGAAATAAAGAACCTCTGTTACTAGATAAACTGGTGCCAAAACACTGACTAACAAGATGAGACATGAAACAGAGTTTAAGAGATAGTTTGGTGAGAACATGTACCTACTGTTCACTGGAGGGGAAAAAAAGGAAGATATCCTTTCAGGAAAAGAAAATGGAATGGGTGTATCCACCACCAAAATTAAACAGCATATGCCAGCATGCCCAAGTCTGGCTGCTCAAATTCAGCCTAGAGGTAGAGTGCACAATTCTACAAGAAGTCTCCAAACACCCAAGGACACTAGTATGAACATAAGACTCTCCTTCTATCATTGAAATAAAAGTTAGTGTCTGTGAAATTCAAAAGACACTATATAAAAAAGACATTTCCATTAGAGGTGTGCGAGGGTGAGGGAACCTTTGCTCCTTAAGAAAGAAGAGGACTTCTTCAGTAATATTCCTCTGATAGATAAAACTAAAATGCTATTTGGTGGCTGTCAGAATTCTGTGTCCCATGCTCTGCTGATTCTCTTCCACTGTTGGCTGTTGTTGACAGGTGGGTGTGCCCCGCACCTGCGGATTGTTTGGGCCGCTCTGGCTGGAGCTTCAAAGGAGTTTTCAATCAGCTGAAGGACGCCAGAATGTTAGGCCACTGTGCAGTCAACAGTTTTTCATTTGTGTGAGTTTAACATTTTGGATTCCTAGTTCTAACTCTGTTCTCCTGTCTCTCTCAGTTAGTCTTGCTTTGGATTTCTCACCCATCGTGACCCTGTGCGCTGCAGACTGGCTTCTGAATCCCAGCTGCTCAAATTTTGCACTGGCGTTCCCCTCAAGCACCCTTGGTGTTAATAAGCCGAACAATTGACCCCCTTTCCTGGATTCACTCTGGTTCCTTCAGCTGCTCCTCAAACCTTTCTCCATTGTGGTGCTGCTCGTGCTCCCGCCTATGTTCCATTCTCTAGCTCACCTGTCACTCAGCCATCTCCCCCCTCTTCAGAAGGAGTGAGTCGCAGAATCCCTTCTTCCACTCACCCTCCCTGGATAGGTTATCCATACCTGGCGGTAAGCGAAGTAGCATCAGCTCAAATTTCCCTAACTCAACTCGTAGTAATCAGTTTCCTCTTTTCTCCCGCTGTGCTCCTAAATCTGACGTTCCGAACCTTGCCTACAACTCACGTAGTGAGCTATTCATATCTGTGTATAGCCTAAATAAGCATCTTTAACTGCTCCTTTAACTGCTCCTTGTCTGCACATGGGCCAAACACCTTAAAACCATCACAGTGAAATTCCTTTCAGCCACTGGATGAAATACTAGCTATAATGGTGTAGAGCTTCCTGCTACTTCTTCAGCTAGAAAACACAGACTTATGATAAGTTTTGTTAAGTAAGAAAAGAGGTCTCACACTTCTCATTTAAGGGCTTTCAAACCACTTTCTTTTCCAAAGGCTGGTAAGAAAGAAAAGAAATCGATATGCAGAAAAACACCCGGTGTCTTTCTGCATGGAGTTTGCATGTTCTCCCTGTGTATACGTGGGCTCTCTCCGGGTAGTCTGGCTTTCTCCCAGAGTCTAAAAACAATACTTTAATAGGCTTCTCTAAATTGTCTTAAGGTGTGAGTGAGTATGTGCATGGTTGTGTGTCTTTATGTGTCTCAGTGTGGCCCCACTGTGACCCTGAAAAGGACCAAGGAGAAGATGGATGGATGGATGGATGGATGGATGGATGGATGGATGGACGAATAGATGGATGGAGGGACTGCAGATGGATGGATGGATGGATGGATGGATGTGAACATCTTTATTCCACATTTCAGTGGCGGCCGGCCCATAGGGGGCGCTGGGGCACCGCCCTCCCTGATAAGAAGAGAGAAACGTAAAATATATTTTTAGAAATTAACTCATAAATGTCAGTTTTACTCTCTAGACTGTGTACCTATAAGCAAAACAAATTATATAAACTACATTTCCCTATCTACTGTCATTAATTTGTGGATTTCCACAGACAGACTCCTACCGTCTCTGTTCTGGGGGCGTTGATCAGACTGACCCACATTTGCAGAGAATCTGTCAATCATGTACTATTGCTAGGTGAATTTAATGGCCAATCAGCGTCTCGGAACTTTATGGTCTTGGGGCGCTGAAAATACTGCGCTTTAACAGGCTTCTGAACCCAAGCGCAGGTGCAGACAATTAGAGGGAAGATGGCGAATGTAACGAACGAGATGCAGCTTCCACCAAATTCAGTGAGATCCTTATTTATCTACCCATTTGCCAGAAGAACATCCCTGTTGTAGGATATGAAAATTTCATGTCATGGTTATTGTGACTGTGACGAATCCACCTCGTCGCTTAAAACAACCTCTCTAACTTTGCGCGCCACACACACACATTCCTGTTATACTGTGTTTGTGAGGACCAATACACTCGCGCTGAGACCAGTAGCTCCATGAACTTAAAACACACAAGCTGTCCTGGTTACCTGCTGGCGTATCGAGGGTGCACACTTAATATTTCAGTGGGGTTAGCCGTGTGTGTGTGTGTGTGTGTGTGGGTGTGTGGGGGGTGTGGGTGTGTACGTGTTTATGCTACGGGGACTTGTCATCTTCAGTCTGGCTGCGTCTTTGCTGGGTTCAAACCCAGTTTGGTGTAATTGAATAAGTCAATGAATCTGTGTAAAATAATTAAGTTGTAAAAATTATTTGTTTTTGTACATCAATTGTTTGTGGAGGTAATATATGGACAAAACTGATTAATGAGAAGAAATCAGAAATAAGAGAGCCTGAGGTGAGGGGTTTAAACTATTTAATGAGGGCTGTGGGAAGAAAAGCGGCAATTTTTGTTTTCTGTTTCTTTGTTACATTGCTGGTAACTGGAGGGAGGCTTAGGCCCAGAGTATCTTGTATATGTTTAGTTTCTTTTGCACCCTGTTTTAAGTTTTTGAGCTCAATAAATCACCAACACCGGTAACCCGACTGAGCCTGGATTCTTGGAGGCCAAAGAACCCCGTCACAGTGACCCAAATCATCACTGTTACTGTTATTATATAGTAAATTAAATCATTACTGTTAAATTGTATGTATTGTCCAATTGTTTATTTGAATTCTTATTCCGGATTAGTTGGAGACATACACTAGGCTATATCAGCCCCACCAAAAATATTTTTCACCAGCCGCCACTGCCACATTTGAGTATTTGTTAAGGTGTCCTAAAAAGTCAACGTTACCAAACCTAAAAATATGTTTTAAGAAATATGACTTGATATGACTTGAAAAGGTCAGCAAACAAATGACTCTTCCTGAGGTCACACCTGCAGATGTGATGTTGCCACTAAAATGCAGGAGAAGCTGATCTCCTTCACACAGGAGTACTTCTGAGGAAGTTTCAATGAGGCCATCCCAGCCCTGAGCTCGCAGTCTGCTCAGCTCCCAGCTCAGGTCTCTGCTGGGCAGCGCAGCCAGGAGGACACTGTGAGGGTCATCCCGTCCACACCGGAGGACAATGGTCACAGAATGGAGGCGGGCTGCAGACTCCAGCTCCTCGGCCAGTGCAGTCAGGTGACAAGGCTGCAGCGGTGAGAGGAGACGAAATACTAGCAGTCTAAAAGGAGAGGAAAAATATTTAAGAAATTTAACTTCATTAAAGGAGATTAGATTATTGCTGAGTGAAAAGAGCCTGTTATCAGCAACTGGAAGTCAGAAATACAAGGGGGTAAGGAAATTATAAAAACGTATTAACATACATTATTCCCACTAAGACTGATTTCAGATAAGAAGAAATAAGAGAAATAAAGTTCCAGGAGGAAAAAATTAGTTTAGCCAGCTTTAATAGATGTAACATAATTCTGCAACAGGAAAGTAAAGCAGATCAAATAGGACCAAGTGATAACGACGTGTGACTTTTTCCACTACAATGTTTTTGGGATGCAAAAATATCACTCTTTTGAACACAATGTGTTGGGAAGAGAAACGTTTTATTTCGCTGGGTCTAGCAAACCTGCCGGACTACTTTCGGCTTGACCAAAGCTGGACGAGAACTCTGCTCACAGGATGCTGCCAGGGGTAAGTCAGTGTGATTGCATGACACTGGTGATGGGGATGCCATACAGATTCATGTCAAAAATCCCGAACTATCCCTTTAAAACCTTAGTATTTATGTTAATTTACAACTTGACAAAGAAACGCTGAATTCAATATCTTGGAGCATTCATCCCACTTTATACCACGTGAACCTCAGAAACCCCTTCACTGCTTTATAAAACCCCTTTTAACTAGCTGCATGACCAGACATGGGTAAGTCACTGACCTACCTATGTCTGAATGAAAGCTGAACAACAAAGCTACAGTGATAAGGAAGTGCTGCATGGCAATAAAACAACTACACAGTTTCAATAAGGAATATAAATTATGACAGGCAGCCGGTTGTGTAAATTTGCTTTGTTTTTTATGTGGAACAGTAAAATAACACTTAAAAAGTACTGAAAATGATTTTGAACAGTAATACAGTCGCAACCATTTAAAATGTCCCTTCCCAGTCAAATGCCAGCTCAATGGCAGCCCACTTCCCTACTCTGAATCCACCTTTTCACTGAATTACAGGGTCTGACTAGGAGAAGGTGCTTCTCTATAGATCTTAATGTCCACAAATCATGACAGAAACATCATTTTAGTACAAGATTGATGTTTAAAAAGGAATTTTAGGGGACCAGCCAAGGGCCCATCAAGGAAAGTGGGGAAATTTTGAAAAATTCTACTACTGCATTTTGCTACATCGTCACAGAAAGTAAGGAAAAAATTACTTCCTCTTACCATTAAACATTTTATAAAAGGAGCTCTCTTTAAAATTTCGGTCAATGATTTAAGTAATTAAAACTGGATTATATATTTTGAAACTGTATTATAACAACTACTGTATCAAAACCAGTCACTGCAGGAACAAAATATTACAATGGTTTTCAGATATATTGTGCAGCTCTTCTTGAAGAAGACATGCACTGAAGACTTCCAAGTATCTCTAAATAAGAAGAAATGTTCTACTATGGTTATAAATTTTTTTATTAATATTCACTGCCACCATTATGCTCTGTGTCTTTTGTGTGGTGTTAAAACGTTGTGAAAATGCTAAAGTCTTGGTTTTTCATTTATTATAAGGCCCTGCTTTACCACCAGATGTCTACAGTGGTCTGATATGTAGGAAAGACATCATTTTCAGAAATCCTGCATAGATTCTCTCACAGGTGATAAAGAGATAAAGAAACACTATTCAAATATCACCATCACAGCCACTTCACAAGGATACAGAACCACACGGTTTCACTTAAGGTTTGACAGTGTGTAAAACATTTTCCAGTGTCTATCCTCTGACTAGGTGCAGAAATATATTTCATACTCCTTTGTGGTGAACATATTTTCATACAGACACTTTTTAAAGGAGAAAGAGGAAGCAAGATGAGATCATATTCGTCTAAATATCAGCTAATATTACTGACCAACTTCTGCAGAAACAAAAAGGCTGATGCGGTAAAAGATATAGGAAGATTACACCTCATAAAAAAATACCACATAGTTGTATTCGTAAAGCGTGCCGGTTGGGTGTATTAATTAGGATATTCGTGAAGTAAAACTATAACTTGTGATCCCTTGTTTCTTGCTCACATGGTTTCATAAAAAAAAACAAAATAAAAAAACAAAACTATATGGTTAGAGAACTGCTGAAACTTCTACTAATGTCCAAAGAGAACAAAGCTTGCGATGTTTATGGACTGAGACAACACCTACCATGAGTGAACCCCTGCCCCCAAAACTGTTGAATTAGAACTTGACTAAAATGTAATTATTTAAAAATGTTGAGGTAATGACGGAGGTATCTGGCAAAAATGACAAGGTTAGAAAATATTAGGAGAAAAACAAAGCAACCAAAAAGTGTGTCAAAGCATCATGCGGAAGGGATAAGCTTTTTAGCGGCTAGTGGAGCTTGTTTGCATAGAGAAGGAAGATAACAACCTAGTTCTTTACATTTCAGATCAAATCAATAGCTTAATGTTTTACGCTTGTAGGTTACCTACATCTGAAGTACAGTTCTTAGGGGGTATTTAGTTGTCTAGCATAGTGTTTCCCTGTCTTTTTTTGACTTATGTATCCCTTTGAGTATTTTTTCTTACCATGGGTACCCCTCATAGTCAAAGGTATTGATGACTGCCCAAAAGTGGAATGTACAATAACTAACTATAAAATGAGAATTTAATTCTTAGACATTTTATTCTATGCATCTCAAATATAACACAACATGAATATGTTGCCTGGAAGCTAGTAAAGAATCAAAAATAAATACAAAATAAAATCATATTATAAACTGCCTCTATAAAACTGGAGCTCTTTTGAGTGACTCCCCTGTAATTACATATAAACTTGATGAATTGGAAACAAAATACCAAAAAATTTTTTTAATCAGACTGACTCCATTTATTTTACTTTGATTTCTACATTCATGACACCTGAGCTGCTTTGATCAGATGTGGAAAAACAGCAGATACCAGGCTGTTCTCTACTTCCAGTCTGTTCCTCTGCTTGGTTTTGATGTGTGTTAAAGCTGATGGTGAACTCAAAGAAAACCTTACATTTTGGCAGCAGCACCTAGAATGAAAAGTGACAGTTGGTATATGTGAGCTGGGAACCGGCCTATGCCAGTTGGAAACTGGTTTAATAAACCCAAATTAGGATTTTCAGTGCTAGGGTTAACCCTAACCCATGTAGGACCTTTGACGAAACTGGCATATGCAGTTTTTAAACTGGCATAAACCAGATGCTAGTTAGTAACAGGCATAAACCAGTTTCCAATAGGCATAAGCCGGTTCCCAAGGGGCATAGACCATTTTTAAAAACTGGCATGCCAAAAAACACTTTTGGCTCTCGCTATCACTCCATTTTTGTTGAAAAAAACAGCTTTTCGTTTCTTTTTTTCCTCACGAGGTAGAACATATCTCTGCCCTATTTTATTTTACTGCCTAAGAAATTAAACATATTTCATAAACCTGTTGCAATGCACTCCGGGACCACTAGGGGTATGAGTACCCCCTGTTGGGAATCACTGGTCTAGCATTCACATTTCATTTTACACCTAAATGCTCCTAAATCTACTAAAAAGGCTATATCTGCTTATCCTTTTTTAAGGGCAAGTGAATATTATATTGCAAGAAGGCAAGGAGTCTGGGTTCACATTGAACAGGTTGCCAGTCCATCACGGAGACAGACAGGATCAACAACAATGCACACACTCACTCTTACCCTAAGGTTACATTTAAATAAAGACAAAAATGACAATAATACATTTAAATAATAATAATATAATAAATAATAAACATATTTATTTACAAACCTGTCAAAGTTTTCATATAGAATAAAGGACACCAGTCCATCCTGCTGGTTTCTGACAACAGTCTTATCTAATACACTCCACTCTTTGTCTCTTGAGCCAAGAACAGTCAAAAACTCCCTGGTCCTCTCACTAGTTTTGACATAGGCTCTTAAGATTCTGCCAGAGAGATAAAGGAAAAAAGCAACTCATTAACAAAACAATAAAATGAAGCAGGTTTATTTTGTGTTTCTGTATAAAAGATTATTTGGTTTTGATACATCTAAGACCCACCTTACTTTGTCTAAGGGAGACAGAAAATGACTAGGAACCCAGCCCTGTGGTTCCTGGTTTTCTTTTCTTCTTGTTTCCTCTTTTTTCTCAGGATTTGGTGGACATGGAAGGATGATTGTGAGGGGTCTCCTAAGTGGCTGCGTTTTAGGGTGGGTGAGGTGGAGCAGAGGGCTGACAGAGACCACCAACTCATATGCATCATTCCTGGACTTAATGGCAGCCAGGAGGATGGCGTCCACCGGCTGGACCTGAAGCAGATGAGCAAACATCTGTTTGGCTGGATTTGGAAGAAGACACTGATTGAAATGAGGACATGTTTTTCCTGACACTTTAATTCTACCGACAGCTGGCTGTTTAATCAAAGTGAGCTGAGCAGAGTGGGAGCGGATGTTTCTTGACGTGAGATCAAGCCGCAAACTACTGCAGTGAAGTCAGTTCAAACACGTTTCCACTCTCATGTACATTCAAATGCACTGTACATCTGTTTATATTTTTTCCCATGCAGCCAACATCTGTGGCAGCAAATCTGTATTGCTGCTTATATTTTTTCCTTGAATCTTCATTTGCTTTTTAATGAGAAAAATTTTAACACTGAATTTTAAAGTGTTAGAGCCAATCTGGAAAAATCTGTTTCTCATAATGAAGTTTGTTAGTCCTTCTACTCTGTGAAAGCAGCTCCAAAGGTGTGGTGCTCAACCTATTTTCTCCATACCATAGTTTGGGCCATTATTGGAGCAGTGAATGATCCTGGATGGTAGTTCAGAGAGATCCGAGGGTCCATGGGAAGTTTTAATGACAATCCCTTCTTGGGAACAATGTACATTTCACTTTTAAGACGTGAAACAACAGCAAATATACCCAAGGAGTACACCTTCACCTCTGCAAAACAACCCTGAGAAAAATATAAAAACATGCATATAGTAATTATTCTTTTCTTCAAATAGTAAGACACATGAAAAAATGAAAGGTAATCTGCTGTAGGCAAATTGACATTTTTATATGATGTAAAAATATGGGCGTTATGTTTGTTTTGTTTGGCCAGCAGGTTTGAATTATGGCTTTTATATGTGCCATATCAAAATCGAGTAAGGCCCAGTTTTGAAGGTAAACCAGTTCTTGGGTCAGTGAAAACAGGATAGATTCAATCAGATAAAAGCCCCATTGCATTATGGGTAATTTAGACACAAATGTAAACTCCCACCTCTCAAGCCATGATTGCTCCAGTCTGTTTTAGGCTAGGGAGTCTAAAGGTATGTTCAGACCAAACTCATTCTGGGTGTTTGAGTATTTGATTTACATCCAAAGTCAATGGTGGGCAGAATCAGGAAGCGTTGATTGGTCCTAGAGTAGATGTGTCAGTCCAAACATCAGGAGCAGCACTTCCAAGCATTAGCCGTCCGAGTTTCGAAGCGTTTAATGTTGGAGTTCAGAAATAAAAATTTTAGCCGCTTGAAACGCAGCATCAACCAATCAGAAAAGCTGATCCAAGAGTTTTCTGAGCGACAGACACTACATGCAACCTGTTATCACTTCTGCAGAATTGTCTGCTTATGGAAAATGAAGAAATATATTGCCGTTAAACTCCACAGCCTGTAAAAAGCCAGGAATATGGATTTTTTTTATAATCAAGAAGAGCGAGCTATGATCATTATGGCTACTCTCAAACATTTTCCTATTTAACTGTTTATAAATATGTACATTAACTAAGAATATTAAAACCTGCTGGCCAATTTTTTTAGATTTTATATTCTGGTACTTTTAGTTTTTATACAAATAAAAGAAAAAGCTTTATAATCACTTTTAGTTGCTAAAGACTGCAGTTGGAAATCCCTGAAAGCCTGGCCAGATACAGAGAGCATTCACTGTTGAGTCCTAGCACAGGCACTTGCTGATATGCTGGGGGTCTACCTCTCTGAACAAGAATTAATTATTTTAGCAAAATCATAATCCTGATGAACTCAATGCACACTTTTATTTCTCAAAATATGTTAAAAGGATTTTCCCCCAACTCATCAAAGTGAATAAAGCCAAGACACTTTCTATACGGCACCAACAGAGCAGAACCACTCAACAACCCAAGCTGAGCAAAGCATCTTGACCTATGTTTGACCCAAGTGTCCAAGTTTTAGCATTTAAACACTTGGGATGCCTAGAACACATTTGGGCGGAATGCATCATAAAGCTAAATCCAAATACTTCAAATTGTCATGATCTTGGCGCTGATGGCTGGCTTAATTACTCATTCCATTCACCTGTCTAACTCTGCCTGGTTTCTAATCACTGCCCATCTGATCCACCTGCTCCTGCCTCTATTTAAGGCGCTTGCATCCAGCCATCAAGCCAGATTATTCTTGTTCTCTCTAGCCAGTGCTGAGAGTGTTTGTAGAGTTCCTTGGTGTTTCTGATTTCCTGATCTTGACCCATTCTGCCTCTCAACAACTCAGACTGAATTGTTCCAGTCTGATATAAGGGGTGAGAGGAATTTTAGCATTACCTAATTGTTTCTTAATACCCGATCCTGACCTGGTCTGCCTCTAAACCACTGTGCCTGCCTGTTCCTGTCTAAACAGTTTGCCTGAACTGTCTTTGGACTCCTGGACCTCTGAACTTGCCTGACCTGGCTTCAGACTCCTAGCCCTCTGAGCCTCCTGTTTAAATCTTTTTGCCTAACCTGGCTTCGGATTCCTGCTTGTTCTCCGTTCTCCGAGGCTGCAGTGTCTGGGACACTCTGGGAGGCCCTGCATCCTGTTGGCAGCCCATCGGCTGAATCCTACCTTAATCTCTGGCTATGGACTAAACTTTTATAACAGGTTAGTGACTAATGCTTTCATGTCCTCCTCCACTGGATTTACGTGGTCACTAACCTGTGTTTCCTTTTACAGAGTTTCCTGTGATAGACACCCAAGGCGCTCATCGATGTTTTAAATAAACGTTTTTTAAGTATTCTACTGTCTGTCTTGCTCCTACTTCCTGTTCATACTGTTTGACACAGGCGTGTAATTTGTTATTTCCTTCTTATGCTATTTATGCAGATTTACATGACTCCAACAATAAATCACATGATGATCGGAAAAAATAAATACAACAACCAAGACATCAAAAAAGCCTAGTTGAATGTTCTAGTGCTGTTCTGCGTAACGTCAACTGGGCCCATGTTGAATGAGTCCAATCTAACAAACAGTTGAAGAGTTATATTCAAGAGGGATTTTGTGGATCCTCTTGATCACGTGTGACAGTATCATTAGAAAACTCTGTAATGCCTCTTTAATAGATATTTTAGTTAATCGTTTAAAAATAGAAAAGCTTAGTCAAAGACATTGTCTTATATAGCTTTAAGAGCAACACCTTTTGGCCTCCATGTGCTGCATCTGTTGTCACAGGGGATATGTAGCTCACTCTCTTCTCCTTATCCACCATCTTTACAGCAACCTCTCTGTGGTTGCTGCGATGGTGCACATAAAAAGGCACAGCCAGGGTTATGGGGAAGTGAAAGCTGTGTGTGTCTTTAGTATTTATCCAAATCACTCTGCTGATGAGCTCCTCCAAGCCATTCACCATGAAGCAGCTTAGGGCGTCGGCCATCTCACACCTCAGGGTGCCAGCAGGTGCTCTGGTAAAACAGACCTCTGTTGGTTTATCGGAGTCATCCATCTGATCTGTGAGACTGAGCGTTGGTTTAGAACACAAGAGATCGTTAAAATAGAGCACTTTGAAGTTTTTAAGCACAAGTTTTAATAAGAAATATGGGTGTGTTCATCTTTTAGCAACAATTTAAGGGGTTTCCAGCATGCACCAGTGCACACTTTCCAATATCAGCTTCTGCCAGACTTGGTCTGTCCTTCTGAGCTGAATTTTCATGATTTGTTTGGCTTTTTGCACAAATGCAGCCACTGACCTGACAATGAACTGTTCAAAATATCTAGCCGTGCAGCGCCCAGGAGGTCAACATGCAGGGCTGGGCGATAACGCGTTGCTGCGTTTCAGTCTGAATCAGTGAGTGGGAGAAATGAAGAGGAAGCTCCTATTTCCATCCACACAGAAAAAGTAGCTAAATGATGTTCTGCTGAGCCTGTTCTGTCATTTCACAGTTTAAAAAGCATGCTTGGCAAAAAGACTTCTGAAAAATGTAAATATTTTGCAATATAGCATAGACTTTAAGGAGACAAACTTTCATAAAATATAACCAGTGGGTTTTAAAGTAATTACACTGTCTAGATCTTGCTGATGGTATACAATTTATTTTGATTTCTCTCTAATAATGTACTGTAACTATTCAATTACACTGCTTTAATTTTCCCAATTTGGTGCAGTAAAAGGTATTCATCTCCTCTCGTCTCCTCTCGTCTCCTCTCGTCTCCTCTCCTCTCTGCTATGCTATGCTTTTCAAGCATAACAGATCAATGCAAATCAGTGTCGGGAAGATGGGTTAAAAAAAAGACCGCACTTTTTTTTTTTTTTTAAAGAAAGAAGAAAATGTGGCATGTATTGATATTTAACATCCTTCGCTATGATATTGCAAAATAAAACCAAGTGCAACCAACTGCTGGAGAAGTCACAGATAATTGAGAAGTTTAAAACTGTTAGCCACAGCTTATTTATGGCATACAGGTATTGAAATGTAATCAAAATGGGCTTTAAAACCGCTCGAGCCTGGAACACAGATTGATCTCTCAGCAGGAAACCAACCTTAAACATATACAAGACCTGCAAGGAAATAAAAGGTTTTCCTTTTATTAGAAAGGCTCAGTCAAAAGCTTGACGTCTGTCCAACTAAATAATGGAACCAGAAGTGAAGGCTGCTTCAAAAAGGACAACAAACTTCAGAAAGATTTTTTAACCTGAAATATATGAACGTTCCAAGATTTGTAGAAATCTAAGGGATATAAAAATCTTAACATGTAACAGGCTGCATGTTATTAGCAAACTTGCTGGATTAGAGAAATTATTTTTTTTGCTACTATAGAGATATAAGTAAAAAGTATGATGTTGTCGGGATCAATCAGTAAAGATAAAACCCAGATTCAAGTCAAAGCAAACATGAGACTCTTCTATGTGTTTGCTTTAATCATAAACATGCTGCTGTTGCTGCACAAGCTTTAAATAGGCTATAAAATAGTTTTGTTTAAATACTTTATTGGTTTCATATTTGAATAAACAGGCAGTTTCTAGGAAATTAAATTGCATGTTGTGATTGTGGGTTTGACTAGCCAAGAAAATCCCTTGACAAGAGTAAGTGAATATATAGTCAGGGAAAAAGACAAGACTGAGTTCAAGACTTAGAAAATAAGGTCTCTAAACTGGTTTGAAGACAAGTCACCAACACCATAAGGTGAAGAACATATCCAATACTTGAAAATAATATTAATTAAAATAATTCCTACATGGACTTTGATAAACTTAGATGTTTTTCTTCCTTTTTCCCTGGATACTTTAAGGTTTCAACACAAAAAAATAACAAAAGGTTTATTTCAAGTACTTGAGTAAAAACAGCATAATAATTACAGAAGCTCACCTTACTGCGTTCCAGTTCTCTTCTGTCTTTCTTTCAGTTTTGTTCTCTCTGAATTTGTCTTCCTCTTCCAGTAAAGAACCATGAGAATGGAAATCCCTCTCTTCTGGGATTCCAATGTGGGCTTCTCCTTTAGTCTTGTTATCCATGTTGCAGTTTAAACTGTCAAATTCAGAGTCCAACATGTGTTTCTCATCAAAACTATTCTGAATATCATCTTTATTTTCCAAATTAGTTGCAGGTTGAGGTTCCCTGAAGTCTTCAGGTTGATCTGAATCCTCCTTGTGTCTGGATTCCTGAAAGTCCTCTAGCTGCGATAGCTGGAGCATTGCTGCATGCAGCTTGGAAATGGTTTTGGTAACTTTGTCCATGATGTTGTCTATGTCTTCTCCAACACATAACAAAATGTCAAAAGTAGACTCTAAACAGGTTTTAGTTTTATTTTCTGAAAATGATATAGAAAAGATAACATGGATAAATTAAAAGCAATAAACAAGTAATAATTAAAGAGTGTTTTTGAAATCAGAATATGTCGCTTGCTTCTGGTCGTGAACCAGTTTTTTGGTATGCTTCAGCAAAATCAGTCTGGAATTTCTAGGGACGCATAGCAGTTTCACGCCAAAGCGCTAGGGGGAGCCGATTCGAGAACTCGCGAGAACTTCGGAGGATGGTCACGAGAACTTCTTCGGCGGCGCCGGCAGGAGTGTTTATGTTCCAAGTTCTGAGGCATCGTAAAAGTGGTTGTACTTCCGAACCCCCTCGATCAACCTTTCGTCGTGGTTATCCATTGTTGTTATTACTCCTCGGTTATTTAAAAATGGTGCGCTCCAGCACCGAATCGAGAAGGACGACCACACAGACAGCCGGAAACAAATACCAAGGACCGATCACAGCTACTTTTTGTCTGCGCTCTTCCGCTTGAGGTCTGCGCAGGTTTGTGACCATCCGACGCGTAGTCAGGATTTTTTTGAGTTGCGCAAAGATCGTTGCGGAACCTCTGCACAGGGGGGCATGGTCGCACAGAGACAGATTTGACGGTTGCAGAGGCTATGCGTCAGAAGCATAAATTGGCCTTAAGTCAATCAATGCATGGAAGAGAGCTGAAACACACTGGACGAGCTTGGACTGAAACATCTAAAGTAATTACTTTTATTTCTCCAGTCCTTACATTATGTAAAACTGGCAATCATTACTACATGTATTACTGGGTGGAAAATAAATGCCTTCAGATGAATTGATCTTAATTAATCATATTGATGCAATTAATAAAATGTTTATAATTATGTGAAAACAAATGGTTAAAATGCTTTAAATTTGTCAATTTATTTCCATAAATTATAATGAATAAATAGTGCATTGTGTACCTTTATTAACAGTTATAAGAGCCAAGGATAAAAGTTTATTAAAGAAATTCACAATTGTTTGTACTTTCCTGGTTTTAAGGTTTTTAACCTGCATCACTTATTAAATGATCAAAAAGATTAATGGAGTTTTAAAGTGGTTTGTAAAAAAACTTGACAAACATGAAAAGTGCAGCAGTATAAAGGTGCAGCAAGAGAGATTGTGTTTAAAACTTTTTCTGTACATTTAGAGTAACTTTAGCTCAAACCAAGAGACCCTGAGCTGCACCACAGACTGTGGGTGTACAACAGAAACAGGAAGCAAGTGTACAGATGTTTACACAGTTTCACAGTGTCAAAGTGTCATTTTTTGGTATGGGTTTTGTAATAGCTTTCACATGTCTGGAAAAAAATCAATAAATCATGAATTTGAAAATCTCAACTATTTTAACTTTTTACATAATTAGGGAGACTGTGAAACTCATAAGATCTGATTATATTTAGAAAGACCAAAGGTAAGTCCCCCAAATCTTTCACTCTCTACATGTACTGAAACCGTCTTTTATAACCAAAACCTCTTTGCTTTTTACGTCACTATTTAATTTTTTTTTTTTTTTTTTTTTTTACAAATGTAGAATAATATAATCTAAATGTTTATATTAAAGCCTTTCAAAATACATCTCCATACCGGAAATGCATTTTGCAATTCTCAACGTCCTTGTTTCTAAAAAATGTGCAAAATACTGTGCCAGGTTAGATGCAGCAGACCAAAAAAATGAATAATTTAGTGACATTCCCTTACTGTTAAAAGAAAAAAATAATTATAATATCAATATATCCCCTCTGAAAAAAGCAAGTCCTTGGAAAGAACAAAATTCTTCACACTTTTTTTTATAAGATTTCAAGAAGTAGGCTATGGGGATTAGTTTAATACTCACAAAATTACAGATTTTACTTTAATTGTTCTACATGCTAAAGAAAAAAATATATATTAAGGTGTGCAAGCAATTATTTATAAAGTAAATCAGGTTTTGAAATCTTCATGTACACTTTGTATACAATGCATCAAACCAACATGCAATAAGGAGGATGCGGTACCTTTTCTAGGGTCAGTCTGATCTTCGTCGCCTCCTTGTGGAAATTTTTCAAGCATACAGGCAAATTCTCTGATAACTTTTCTCCAGTCCATCAGTATCTCTGAATGAAACTCATTCAGCTCTTGAAGTACTATAACAACATTCTCCTTTTGCTCTTTAAAGGCACATATTTTTCTCTGTTTGTCCTCCTCTGTACATTCCTCTGACCCGCTCTTTCCTTCCTCTCTGCTGCTCCCACATGCAGATCCAGAATAATAATTTCTGCAGTGCCTGATTCCTTGAGGACCTTTTTCCAAAGTGTTGGAGAGACTTTCCTCAGTGCTTGTGACAAGAGGACAGTTTGCTTCATTGATCCGATGAGTTTCAGTCTGATTTGCATCCATGCTAATCTGAAAAAGATAATAGGATGAGAGCTAAAGGTTTAGAGCTTTTCCTTCAGGCTTCCCTTTCAAACCTCCTTCACTTCCTAGACTTGAAGAAATTGAACCATTTGTACTTGGATTTGGAGCCACTGGTAGTGAATGTTGGTGTGACCAGGCTGCCCCAGCAGGAGGCAAACCTGCATTCATGTGGCTGCTGGCAGTAAAATGTGTTGCTAAGGTGACCCCCAGACGGGTGGGACAGGGTTAGACAAAGGAAAAGCTCCACAACAAAAGCTTCATGGGAACACAAACATGATACTACTGTCATCTTCCACTCCTCCGCCCCTCAGTTTACTGCATGAGTGAGCAAAGAGATGGAACCCAGAGCTCCTCAGGAATTCAGCTCAATTTCAGACGATAAAGCTTTTTCCTGAGTATTTCTATCCGGAACAATAGCAATGTTTCTCATTTAAAGGGATCCTTGTGCGTTAATTGTGTTTTAAATTGCATCTTTAAAAGGTTTCGTAGCAGGGAAAATGCTTGAGTTACCCCGGCACCGTGCCAGGCATCAGTTTAAAAGTTTCCTGTGGAGTTCAGTTTTCTTTTTTCTGTACACAAAAATATTCAAAGCACTTAAACTTGTTCAGAATTCTAAGCAAAACCTTTAACATTTTTTACTGGTATTCTATGTAATAAGCCAACACAAAACAGAGCATATTAATTACTTTTTTTTTTGGCAACAAGTTTTAGCTTATGCACAGCTAAAGATTTTTATTTGCTTTAAAAACATTTGATTAAGTAGTGTGAGAATCTCAATTATTAACTTTGACTGGGCCTTTCTACCATTTCAATGGGTTTTAGTCTTAGCCATTATATAGCAGCTCCAAGTTTATGTTTAGGGTTGTCCAACTGAAAGGGTAAACTTGTTCTCAAGTATTTTGTAGTGTCAAAGATATCTATTTCTCTGGTTCTTTTTCCTGAAAAGAAATCACACAGTGATAAGTATCCTAACAGTAACCTTTAACATGTTGCATTAATTTTGCTTAATCAGTTAATAAACACTGTAAAGCACCAGCTTCCCTGTTCCTGCTGAGGAAAAGCATTCCCACAGCATTATTCTCCCACCACCATGCATGCTGCCACATATAGTGCTCCACGCTCAATGTTTTGTATGCAGTCCAAAAAGTTTGGATGGGCATCTTTGCTGCGTGGATTACATGGAAAGAGTTTAAGAGTGCTAAGCAAATCTGAAAACCCCGCCAGAGTAGCCATTTTACTCTTGGCTACTTCTCTGAATAAAGCTCTGTGTGTTCTATATATCAGTTTATGTGGATAGATAGGTCTTGGTTGGTCCACAGATTAGAGAGTGTACTGAACAACACACTGTGTCACATCAAGTTTAAAACTTTAATGTAATTTTGTATACTAATTCTGCTTTCTTCTTAACTTTTTCCCCTGACTTTTCCGCTCCGCTTCTTTACAACGTTGTTAGTTCACTAATCTTGTTGAATAAACCTATTCGGATAACAAAACAGCTGCTTTTACACTTGTTTTTTTTTTCTTGGATTTTATTTAGGGGCTTTAGAGTATGGGGCAAGTTCAATAAATGCCAGGCTTTGCCAATTTTCTTTCTTTTTTGTGTGTGAAAAAATTTTTCTTTACCCTTCACCATTAAATTACTTTTTTTTTTTTTTTTGCTTATTACACAAAATATGAAATGCATCAATTCTGGTGGTAATTTAAATAATTTAACAAAGTTCAAGACATTAACTTTTTTACAATATATAAAATAATTGGTATTGTATTAAGTAAATGACCCACATCTCTTCTATGGTATAGTTTCTTCTGAGCTGAGCACTAGATGTGACCATACAAGGTATCATCCTACACACCTACTGTAACACTGTTTTGGAGTTCCTTTTGTAACCAAATTCAGGAAGGTCTTTTATAAAAAAAAAAAAAAGAAAAGAAAAAAAAAACTTTAAAAACAACAACAACAATAGATTTAAATGAAACCTTTACTCCCAATTTGATAAATTTTGTTTTGAGATATTAACAAGATTGTAAAGATAAAATATAAGGATCTTTTTCTGCAGTTCACAGAACCTTTGGTGCTTCTTTGTCTCCATCATGTGGCGGATTCTGCACACGCAAAGCAAGTGCAATTTTTGCCATATCACCATCTTGCAACACAGTCATGTTCACACATTTGCCTTTTATTCTAGCAAATCAGGTTAAAATTTGCTACCACTTCTTTGATAATTATTATTAATTGATTAAATAATGATCAGTTTAGCATATTAGCTAAGAAATAAATGTATGTTATGTTTTTCTTAATAACACTTAAATTAGATAGATAGATAGATAGATAGATAGATAGATAGATAGATAGATAGATAGATAGATAGATAGATAGATAGATAGATAGATAGATAAGCTGTGCACCGTGGTCAAATTCTCTGACACAAACACTACATAGCTTTTTCTACCTTATGTTCAGCAGCGATCCAATGTGAATGGCAGCTTGATGCCATATCTAGTGGCAAAGCTGGTGTTGTGAGGTTCCAACTTAAATGTTTGTAATCAAGCCGTGTTAAACATATTTGTAATTGCTGTCCACTTCGACAATCGAGACCAAAAGAATAAACTAAACCAGCCAACGAAGACATTAATTTCACTAACGTATCACTGGTTTAGAGGACAATGTAGCTTTGTTTTATTTTTTATAGTATAGTCAAGTACACTTGACTATACTATTGTTTACTTTATTGTCTATGTACTTTATTTAAAGTATACTTTAAGTATACTTTAGTAAACTTAAACTAAATTAAAAAAAATTTAGTTCGAAGAAGTATTACTTTAGTAATACTTTAAGTAGACTAAAAGTACATTGTTCGCGTATACTTTCTAACTTATACTTAAGTATTCTTAATAGAATTTACTTCAACTATGCTGCTTTTTGCTGCTGAAAAGCATGTGAATAAATATAGATAAATTGCATTTTAATTAATAATGATTATCTGTTGCTGTTCTTCATGAAAAGCAACCCTTCTTAGTAAAACTTGATGCATTCCTATCCCCACTGAATCCATAGCCCGGAGCATGTGGATCAGGCAGGGACATGCCAGCTTAAAGACTTCACACATTCCTCTGAACAGCTCTAGAGCTCCATCCTTCTCTCTAATAACACCATGTCCTTATTTCCGTGTTGGCTCAGAAACACGCGCTGACGATGGTTTGACAGCTGGTAAGTGTCACAACAAACATTACTGACTCGGTTGGTTTTTTATCAGAAGTTAAAGACGGGGACGATGGGCGTGGAACTGATTTTACTCAAAGACTCAGAGGAGAGTGACTGATACTAGAGTGAAATCCAAAGCCTGGTTTTTAGAAAAAAAAAAAAAAAAAAAAAAAAGACTAGGGAAGTAAAGGTGAGCGGATCAATGCCGGAAGTTTCCTCCAGTCTTGAAGCTGCAGGTAAGCAGGCTGCACACATGCCTCCGAAAAATGTATTGTATATATATATTTTTTTTCTTACAAAAAGAATAAATATCGGGGTAAATAAACACCATGTTAGGTAGGAAAAGTGTATTGTCCGCACGCGCTCTAAACAAAGTTGCTTACAAATGCCTAATCCGAGTTAGTTTAGTGTTTCTTTAAGCTTTTGCGGTGCAATTACAGGCTTAAGTTATATTTGCGGGGTGAAACCGTTAAACAGTGAAAAGACAGTTAATTAGATCCACACGTGCAACGCACAATAAAATCACACCCATTAAAAAAAAAAATTAATGCACTTCCAAGACTATAAATTGTATTAATATTCATTTTACCAGAGTTTCAAGCAATATGGAATACGGATAGAACGATATAGAGGGTTTTAATGTTGCGCCGCTTATTGTGAGGCATACTTGGGTATTATTGCTCCTGAACAAGGAAGGAGGCACCAGGTGGACTTTGTTCAAAGGGATGAACAGAAAGTATTGAGGAGTTTTGTGTTGGTGTGCATGCAGAGGCGTGCATGTTGTGACTCACACTGTGATTGAAACGTGAAACATTACCTGCAACTTGGGAGGGAGGGGGGGGTAGCTGCTGCCAGGTGGGCGGGCCATAAAGTACACTTTTTTGCTTATTTTTACACTTTAACGCATCAGATCAGCAAACATGGTGTAAAATCCTATTAGTTAATGCAAAAACAAAGAAAACAACAACAGAGGTGTCAGGTAACAATGTTAATGTAGCCTACTTAAGTGCACTTTTTAGGTATCTATACTTTACTCCATTACTTATTTTACTTCCTACTTCAGACTTCTACTCATTACATTTTCACACAAGTATCTGTACTTTGTATTCCTTACATTTTTAAAACAAATTTTACTTGTTACTTTTGGCTTCGATTTAATGTTTATAAATATTTATTTCACCTCATGTGCGCCATCCAAGGCAGATCATTGGCGCCATCCACATCTAGTGAAAACTAGTGTAATTGGATGAGTCATGTAACGCAAACAATCATTGGTTAGTTAAAGGAAATCATCAGAAGCAAGCAGGTGTTCTTAAAACTGCAAATGCGAATTGTCTATGCCAGGGGTCTTCAACGTTTTCCAGACTAAGGACCCCCAAACTGATGACAAGCTGGAGCAGGGACCCCCTAATTATATATATTGTATGAAATTGTGTTCTATCAACCTGGTCCTATAGTCACTCTATTAAAGATGGAGTAATGTAAGGAAAGTAATTTCTCCCTTGGATTATTAAAGTATTTCTGATTCTGATTCCTGGTTGATGGGACAGGTGTTGTGAATGAAACGGTGCCCAGCTTGAAAGAGCTCCTGTGTGTCGCTGAATGTGTGCATTGATGACTTAAAGACATCTTCTGCCTCCATTTATCTGTTTACTACAGTGTGTTGAATTCATGTTAATGTGGATTTAAAGACATTTCAATTCAGGAGGGAATATAAAAAAAAATAAATGAATCACCCAAAAGTTTCGCGACCCCCATGCAGTAACTCCGCGGACCCCCTAGGGGTCACGGACCCCCTGTTGAAGACCTCTGGTCTATGCCATGCTACAATGTTGGATAAAAAAAAAAGATGTTGAAATGTCTGAAAGGTCGGACACATGCGAGAGAGTATCGGGGGATGGAGACAAGATCTCCCTCATCCTTGTAGCCTGACGTAGTCCTACTCAATTCTAGTCAGAATATGAGTCTGATACTGCTCCATAGAGCTGTGATTATGGGGCGTGTTTTGAACGAACCAGGAAAAAAATGCCTCTGCACTCAATTGGATAGACCTACAACCAATAAGAGCAACGGAGTGCGTGACGTATGATAAGCAACGCATAGTTGTTGTCAACAAAAATCAAAGCGTGCAGTTGCACGCCTAGAATAAGAAGATGAGCCTTGATCGAGTTTCTCTGTTCCTCTTTTAAAATTAATTTGCTGTCGATATCTTCTAGAACAGACCTAATAGCAGAATCTACTCACCTCAACTCTCCAGGCAGCCATTGTTGTTGTCACCCAAGCGCGCTTTGGTCACGTGGTTGATTACGTTACTGTTGATCATCTGTCCATCATCGTAAAAAGCCCGCCCTGACAATTTGATTGGATCGCCAGAGAGTGGGCGATCATACTCGGGCTACTATGGAGCAATGCCAGACCGAACTTCCCGACCTCAAACCTTGTGGGCGGGACCAAGTTCGGAATGGCACTCAGGCTACATCCTTGGCCCTATCTCAAAGAATTTTTTCGAGATAGTCGAAAAAGTTAGCTTACAATTCATAATGGGATCTGGCTGTTTTCTTAAAGGTTACTTTATACTTTTATACTTTAAGTAGTTTTTGGAGCACATACTTTTTACTTTAACTTGAGTAAAGAGGTGAAGTTGATACTTCAACTTTCACCAGTGTTTTTAAACTGCAGTATCTATACTTCTACTTAAGTAACAAATGTGTGTATTTTTGACACCACCGAAAAAACAACTAACATAAAACTTCAAATGAATTTGTTCCTGTGAGGGAAAAAGCCTCTCTCTCCTTCCTTGGTAAATCACAAATGATCTGAGATGAACCAATTCATTTCAAAAACATTCTTCACTTTCACTATAAACACCCAGGCCCCAATGTATGGCTGTTGGATTAGTAGTATTTACAAACGGTTAAATATAACCCGTCTGATCTCATGAAATAGGCCAAAAGAGTTAAAACAGCAACCGGAAATTTAGTAGATAAGACAGAACAAAGTGATATACTTAGAAACTTTGGTTTCTAAACATTTATAAAATGTCTGTAGCTGATGTTGCTCTGTCTGACCACCTATTTTTTGAAAGCATGATTTCAAATTCAAATGGTAGACAACTTTCATTTGATTATGTTGGTCCAGTTAAAGTAAAGGTTGGTAAATAAAGGTGTCAGAGAAGAAATGCTTCAGTAGTCAGACGTGATAAAAGGGGATTGTTGAAAAGTCGGACACAGATGGCAAAAGTCTGGACTTTAGCTTCACTATAACGTCTATGAAGAGGCTTCAGAGACTGCAACCGAAAAATGGAAGATAATCTTTCTTCAAATGTCTAATGCCTCAGCAGGGCTTGAATAATGCTACATTCAGACCACATGTGTGTGCTGCTTTACTTTTGATGCTTGTACAAGTTTAGTTCTAACGTGCAGCTAAAGCATCCTTTCATCACTCTTGGTGCGCGGTCAAAAAGTGGGTTTGACGCGCATTGGGCGAAGCTACACTATCTTTTCTTTGCCTGTAACAATAGCAGCTATATTTGCCGTGATCAGTGGGTAAAAAGTAGTTTTAATGTGTTTTTAATTTAAGAGGTCCACCTTAAAACTTAATCTGTGCAGTCAGTTCATCAAGATTACGATTCTGCCTTTAAATTTGGTTTTTCATGTACGTAATCCAAAATGCAGGCACCAGAATAATAAAATCAAACATATAACCTGCAGGTTTTGACTTTTAAGTTAATTTAGTCGTTAAACTGTTTCAGAGGAGCGATCATAGCAATCTGCATCAGCAGTGCTGTTTCTGTTTCCCTGCCAGCTCCAATATAAGCTTCTCTGATTGGTTGGTGTGGCGCGTCGAGCAGGAAAAGTTCAATTCTTCCAACTGCTGCTTCTGAAGCGCGTCACGCACATCAGATGCCCAGAAGCTTGTGAGGCGCCAATTCAACTGCTCAGACATACTGCTCCTGCTGTTCAAAATGCGCGTCAGGACCTTTTGCTGCGCCATGAAGCATGTCAACCATTGACTTTTAATGTAAACTAACTGCTTCTGCTGCTTCTGTAGTGTGTGGTCTGAACGTAGCATAAAGTAATCGATGCGTAAAATCTTCAGTAAAATTGACTACAGCAACAGTGTCTTTACAGGCCTGTTGATCAGCCAGCTGCAGTTGATCTAGAAAGCTGCAGCCTGCATCCTCACCAAACAAAGGATACGGAGCACATCTTTTCAATGCTAAAATCACACTGGCTCCCCAACTATACAATACTTCTGTTAGGCCAAAGATCACTGAATGGCTAAGCTCCTAAATACATAATAGACTTGCTGTCAGTGTATCAACCCAGACCTCTCAGATATTCTGGCTCTAATCTACTTTGCATACCTAGCAGAAACAAAAATGGAGAAGTGTTTAGTTCTTATGCTCCACAAAGGTGAAATAAACTCACAGAAAGCTAAAATAGCACTAAAATACATGGTCACTTTAAATCAAGATTAAAAAGGGATGATTTAAAAAAAAAATCATTTTATCTTTTAACTATAATCCTCTTATTCTAATATAGCAGCTTTATTCTTGAAGTATTTATGTTGCCTCTGTAGTGAAAAAATAGTCTTTCCACTGAAATGTGCTGTATAACTGCTTTCATGACAGGCCTGCTTGCAAATAATTGGTATTATTGTTAATGATTTTCTCAGGAGTCTGCTGACATTTGATGGTATAAAAACTTTTCAAATATTTTTCAGTGTTTTGATGAATGGTATATCCAGACTTCAAATGGTACCAGAGAAATCTGCCTGGCTGCTAAAACTTTTTCTAGAATAGAATATCTCAAGTTTGAGCTCGCTGTACAGCCCACAGTGGCATATTGGACAAAATTAATGTAGCAGGTAGCTGGTTATTTTGGACTCATTTTAACTGTTAATTGGCTGTTTTGGCTTGATGTCGATTGTTGAATCATTAGGTGTTGTAAAGTTAAATCTACGTACCTATTTCAGCTCCTCATTCATTTCCAGTCCTCAAACTCTGCTTGTTTTTTTATCTTGCTTTTGCAAGTTTTGAGCTCAATGTGAGAATTACACTTGAGTTCTATTTGTTCTTTAAACGTATACCTTAAATTCAAAGGCCCAGACCCGAGATGTTTGGTGCAATAAATTCAGTATTACAGTCCTAATGTTGGCAATCTATCAATATTGGGAAAAAACAACAACAACAACAAACAACTGCACATAAAAAGCATTCTTGAGAGAGTCTCAA